GAGACCTGCACACAAGGCCACAGTGAATGCAGGCGTGAGGGTTGAGAGAAAGCATCGCTGGTATATTTGCATTTGCTTTTGTTCTAAGCCTAGTTTCCTTGAATAACAGCCGTGGAGAAATGTTTGATTCGCTGGTGACACATACTCTTCCAAGCATCTTCATCATTAGCATTGAGCTCAAAATTTCTGCTATCGATCTGGACAGCTGCAAGGTTAGTTTTCAATTTGTCTTTGTAGCGAAGCCAAGGTCGTCCAACATTTCGGTTACCAACCATCAAACTGACTGTACATGAGTTGCTTTGGTATCCTACTATCGTCCATGCGAACAACATGACCTGCCCAGCGAAGTTGTGATTGGATCAGAAAACTTTCTATTCCACTGATGCCACAAAACGTAAACAGGTCTGCATTAGATACCCGGTCTCTAAGAGTAAAACCACAAATAGTACGAAGACATCTCTTGTGGAAGACATCAAGTTGCTCAATTTGGTTACGATAAGGTGTCCATGACTCTGATGCATACAGTAGTGTGGTAAGTATGACGGCTTTATACACTGCTATCTTTGCTTTCAGGCTTATTCCTCGGTCTTTCCATAATCGGGTACTCAATTTTCCAAACGCACTACTAGCACGAGAGATTCTATTCACTATTTCATTATCGAGTGATGCACTTGAATTCACAAAGCTACCAAGATATGTGAAGTTTTTCACATATTTCAAATTGCTTCCATCAATTCGGATAGGGGTTACTGGAAAATTGTGGACTGGCTGATTTTGTTTCACACCGTGCATCTGCTTTGGTGTAGGTCAGGGCTGATGTATGACTTCGGTTTTCTTTATGCTGATGGTTAGGCCAAAGGCTTTACATGCAGCAGAAAACCGATCAGCAAGAAGTTGAGCTTCCTCGAGGAAGGTTGCAACCAGTGCAGCATCATCTGCAAATAGCAAATCCCTGATGATTGTTCTACGAAGGAGCGTTTTCGTTTTAAAGCGCTGATGATTGAATATTCCACCACTTGTACGGAACTGAAATTTTTCTCCAGTATCAACATCTGAAAATGCGTGTTTCAACATAACAGAGAAGAATAGAGCAAACAGAACCGGAGCCATAACACATCCTTGTTTGGTGCCATTAGTTACATTGACCTGTTCCGAAGAGTCCCCATTCGACACGACTGATGCTTTCATACCCTCATGAAAAGATATTATAACTTTTATCATGTTGTCTGGGATGCCAGGTTTCTTCAATATCTTCCAAAGAGCTGTACGGTTCACAGTATCAAATGCCTTGGTAAGGTCAATAAACACCATGTACAACTCCTGGTTTTTCTCGCGAACTTGACGCAAAGAAAATATCATATCAATCGTTCCCCGAAGAGCGCGAAAACCACACTGCGATTCAGGATAGATTTCATCAACAACATGCTTAAGTAATCTGTTGAGTATAAGTCTGGCTAGAATTTTACCAGCAATTGAAAGAAGAAATATGCCGCGATGATTATCACAGACATTTCGAAGACCTTTGTTTTTGTAAAGGTGAAGGATGGAGGCATCCTTGAAGTCTTGGGGAACCTTCCCAGCTATCCAAATGGAAACAAAAAGAGCATGCAACATTTTAGCCAACTTTTGGCCACCATTCTTAAACACTTCCGGTGGTATAGCATCGTTGCCAGGTGCCTTACCCATGGCTATCTGTTTTATAGCGTCAAAGACTTCTTGTAGAGTCGGTAGCTCAGACAATACTGTTTTTTCAGGAAACGGATGAATTGACCCAATAACATCGTCATCCGTAACAGAAGAAGTGTTTAATACTGTCTCAAAATGTTCTTTCCAGCGGTTTAAAATATCATTTCTATCAGTTAATAAGGTTCCATCTTCCGCGGAAATAGGCATTCAAAATCTGGAAACATCAATTCACAACACGTGGCTATAAACAACACCTAATCAGGGAACAAATAAATAAAGCAATTTCCACACCTAGAGAAGACACCCTAATGTACAAGATTAAAAATAAACCTAACCGCATCCCTTTAGTAACCACTTTCAACCCCACTCTACCTCCACTATCCCAAATAATCAAAAGTCGCTGGGAAATACTACATCTGAAACCAGACCTAAAAAATTGTTTGAGGAACCCAGCCTTCTAGCATATCTTAGACATAAGAACCTAAAAGAAATCATAGGTAGTAACCACATTTCAGAGGACAAGGTAATCCGTAATAAACCAACAACAAAAACAACAGGATTTTCCCAACCATGTAACAACAAAAGAAGCTTATGCTGCAGCCACATGAGACACACGAATTCATTCACTAGCTGAGTCACTAAATCTACTTTCAAAATCTACCACGACTCTAACTGTAGAAGTCATAACATAATTTACCTCCTAGAATGCACACTATGCCAGAAACAATATGCAATAAAATCTGAATGGCCCTTTCACTACAGAATTAATAATTATCGCAATCGAATTAAGTCGACTCCACATGAAAGATTATTACCTGTAGAACAAGATTTTCGCCTAGAAAAACACGATTTTAAAACCCATGCCAAATTCACTATAACTGAGAGAATAAAAAAGTTCAGAGCAGATAACATTAGAAAGATTTTAGTTCCATGAAAATAAGTGGATACAACGTTTAAAAATACACTATCCAGACGGACTCAATCACAAATTTAACAATATAGATAGTATTAATATATAACTCCACAAACCAGGACCTACCCACATTTCTCACCCACATAAGACAGACAAGCTTACGGCGGTGCTGAGCCCTCACACTTATACAGACACCCACACAAATATACACACATCATACTCACTCACTCCCTAATATAGCCAAATGATAATACACAACCATAGTAATATACACGCTTACACACATCATACTCACTCACTCCCTGAATCAATCCAGCTCTTACCTTAAACAACAACTTAAAAGAGACTGTTTGACCAACACATGGACTGACCAAAATTCATGTTTAAGAAAATAAAAAAAGAAATGAAAACTACAGACAAACGTTCATTTTCTCCATCAAGACATTCATTTCTGTAGTTCACTGCTACCAGCAAGCAGAATTTTTTTTCTCCTGATGGTGGCTATGTTGGCCGAAACTAGTCGAGGAATCTAAATAAAATAATAATAAAAACGAAAGAATATTAATATACAGCCCAGTGTTTGAAGATTTTAATTTTTTTAATATTTTTATTGTTCAATATATATATATATATATATATATATATATATATATATATATATATATATATATTATTATATATGTATATAGTCCCAGCATATATATATTACACCGAAAACATGTAAAAATCGCTACACAATTTCAATGCGTTTCTATGTATCTCATTAGGCGATTGTAAATTACTGACGAGTGAACGATTTATTTAGATTTAAAAGCAAAGTACAACCTCTTTTTACGAAAAAAAAGGGGAAAGGGGGTCATTAGGTTTGTAGGCTTTACTCTGATCAACCAATCAAATATGACCTACGTTAAATTTAAATTAAGCGAAGAAGCAAAAATTTTAATTATTTTTTAAAGGAATTATGACCCGTAGATTGGCAGCTAACAGCAGCCAGACATAAACTAAAGCGGATACATATGGTTACATAGATTATAGGAACCAGACAATGCAGTTTCCTAAGATATAAAAATGGGGTACTTTTTTGTAGTTGACAAATAAATAGCTTCTTTAAGAAACTAGTAAATAATTTAAATATGTAGAAATATTTGGTAAATTAATATACAACTATTAAATAAAGATCTTTCATATAAGATCTTAAAAACACTAACCAATCAATGTAAAATGTCGAAAATAGCAATCAAATACCAATATATCTGTACAAGATGTTACCGATACTACCAGGAAATACTACCAAAATTATATTAAATCCAGATTAACCTTCCGAATAGAAAGATCATCCATATATAGTGCTACGCAGTACAACTAAAACATATGAAAAGGCATTATCAAATTTCAAAGTTTAACTAAATTGTAAAGTAAAAGTAAACTATGTTTACAATTTACCGTTAATTTACTCCTTTGATTTAACAATGAATTTTTGTTAAAAATCTGATAATTTCGAGATTTTCATGTAAACACAGAAAACAAGGTTCATATAAAGATCTAAATGTCCTTGCCATTTTAAAAATTTTCCATTTCACCTGAGGAGTCTTATTATCATCTTATAAACTCCAAAAATATTTAGAAAGTGATGTATTATTTCTGTAATTAGTATTGGTAAAGGACAAGATTTAATACTACCTAATCTTAAAAGAATTCATCGTATTACCAATACAGACTTTTTCAACCGTCGGATTCTCTATTGTAGACATAGTACTAAGATAAATCAACGATTTAGTTAAACATTTGTTTAGCAATGGGCATTGGTCAGAATTCCTACAATTACATTGGCCAATATTATTAATATTTATCTTAGAACGTGTATTATGTGTAGAAATTTTTATATGTTTTTGGTGTAATAATCTAAAATAAACAATATTGCTCTACTCTATATTGAGCCCTCTTTTAAATTAAATGTCAGGAACGTTGGAATTTACTCTATTCGTTCTCATTGTAGCTGTGTATATATACATATATATATATATATATGTGTGTGTGTGTGTGTGTGTGTGTGTGTGTGTGTGTGTGTGTGTGTGTGTATATATCTGCAACAAGTTGTATAGCATATCATATTTATGCGTGTATACAGTGCATGAGATTATGTCTCTGCGTACTTACGTGTTTTTACGTATGTAGACCCACCTACTGGTGAGTGCTTCAGTGTGTAACAAAAACTTTGTTTCTGAGGAGTTTAATCTAAAGCCTACTTCAACTGGGAATGTTGCTTGCTTCTTACAGTCCCCGCCCACACACTTCGCCTTCCTACCACAACACCAACTTCCTCCCCAATTACACATCTCGCATGCATACTCACCTCACCCCGACGTCTGCCAATTTATAGATAGTCTTCTCTTCGCGGTAAATGCAGTCTCCATTGTATTCGCGATTTTTGCAAAATGTTCCCCTCCTACACTTTAGACCAATTACAACTGTGTTTTTTTTCTCTCACTTCGCAATGCTCACTCTCACTATTTTCCTTTATTTCTCTCTCTCTCTCCTCTCTCTCTCTCTCTCTCTCTCTCTCACACACACACACACACACACACACATTATCTATCTATCTATCTATCTATCTATCTGTGTCTGTCTGTATTTAACACGCATATAAACGGTTCCATTCCCTTTCATCCATATATTTCTCTTTTTATATCTCTGGTCTTTCTCTCTCTTATCTCATAGACTTTATCTTTTTTTCTTTAATTTTTAATTCTTATATTACCATTCTATGTTCTCTCTCAATGCTCTCTCTATCTCCCTCTTTTTCTCCCTCCCTCTGACACACATTTCTAGATTTTCTATCACGTTTGTTCGTTTGCACTGTTACTCGCTTTCAATGCTTTATTTTTCTCTTCTTCCTTCCTTTCTCTCTTCCTTGTCTCTCTTTCTTCCCATCTTCTTCCTGTCGCATTTTCTCTTGATTTTAACATTAAATTCTTACACAACTTTCTGTCTCGCTCTGCCTCTCCATCATTCTCGATTATGTAATGTTTTTAATTCATCTGTTCTCTGTCTCTGTCTCTCTCTTCCCTTTCTTACTCACACACACTCACTCTTTCTTTCTCTTTTGCTTTCATTCACTGCTTCCTCACTTAACACTCTATATCTGTTGTTTTTTTTTCTCTTTTCTCTCTCTTGGTTGCTTTTGCCTTTTTTTCTTTCTCTAAATTATTTCTATTCTCTCTCTCTCTCTCTCTCTTTCTCTCTCTCTCTCTCTCTCTCAAATACCTCAATAGGTTCCCCCTTTTTTCTATAACTTCTCTCTATTCTTTCTCACTTTATCCTCTCTCTCTCTTTGGAATCAGTCTTTCATCCTTTCTCTTTCACCTTTTCTTCTATCTCTTCTTATCTGTCTCTGTCCCTCTCCCCTCTCTCTCTCTCTCTCTCTCTCTCTCTCTCTGGAAACATTCTCTGTCTTCTATTTATTATCTCTCTTTTTCTCATTCTTTCCATCCTTAACTTGTGTTTTTATTTTTAACATCCGTTTCTCTCTTTCAAATTTTGTCTCACATTATTTACATTTCACGCGCTTTCTCTCTCTCCCTCTCTCTCTCTCTCTCTCTCTCTCTGCATCTTATCTTCAATAAACGTACCATTATTTTTTCCTTTGTTTTTTTTTTTTGTTTTTTTTGTTACTATTCCACTTGTCTAAGATATTTGTTTGCTGACGCTTCGACAGTGTGAACAGAGAGATATAGACATCCAGAATCCATCTGCTAGGTCGTTCTGACCCTCTGAGCACACACAAACACATATTAACAGGCACACACAAATGCATGCTTTCACATGTACAGCGCTGAGATACCAAGGAGTATATTTACTGCGATTGAGCAGAGAAAAGACAGTGAACGTTAAAACAAATAGAAAGGGAAAGAGGAATGTAGAAAAAAAAAAGCGGAAGAAGGGGAAAGATTAAGAAAGAGTGGGCAACGAGAACACAGATGTAAAGGACAGAAGGTCGTCGCGACCAGAAGGACAGATATTTAAGAGTGCACGTATAGAGAGAACTGCAGGCACGCGCAGTCTATATTTTCATTCAGCGGTAAATGGGACCGAAAAGGAGACCGGAAATAAAGGCCACATAGACGGCCCAGCAACTAGAAACAGCAGTGAAGGTGATTGGAATGAGACTAGGTTGGCACGAATAGTTCGCGTGTTCATAAATCAATAACTTCGTCCGCCGCCATTTTCTTCCTTGTCCGTAATCTGTTACGTGTACGCTATTTCTTTTCATGGCATACTAACGGCATTGCCTTGCTTGTTATCATTTCTATATAAGCTGGACCTTACGAATTTCCCAATATATATATATATATATATATATATATATATATATATATATATATATATAATGTGTGTGTATAAGAATAATATTGATTTGTGGCGCCTAGAAAAAGGACACAGTTACAATACTCAGTCAAACAAAAACCTCGCCATATGGCAGGCTGGCTTAGAATTATATCGACTTGTGGCACCTAGAAAAAGGACACAGGTACTAACTTAGCCAATCAAGAACAAATCCTTGTGGCAAATAGTCTAAAAATAATATCATCACCTGGCAACTGGAAAAAGAACACAGGCACTTACTGAGTCAATCAAGAACAAGGACAAGTCTTAAAATAATATCGGCACCTGACATCTAAAAAAAAGGACACAGATGTCGGACCTAGAAAATTGACACTGATAATTATCTCAGTCAATGAAGAACAAAGCCATGTGGCAGACTGGCTTATAATAATATCGATTCATGACACATAGAAAAAGAACACAGATACTAACAGAAAGAGGGATGCGAGGTTGAATCTATAAATTTGTAACTATCAATATAACGTGTGTATTTTCATCTGAGATTTTCAATAAATAATGTTCAATTTTATATATATATATATATATATATATATATATATTAAATATATTCTGCAAATGCTTTGGTCTCAACCTCAAGCTGGAGAAAAATTGATCAGAAGTTCTCGAAGTAGCTGTTAATCTATACTCTTGGAGGAATGTTTCCTTGAGAGAAGGATAAGATGAGCTTGAGAATGTAACGTTTAATATATATATATATATATATATTCACATTTTCGTGCGGTAATCAATGAAATGATGGCGTTCAGATGAAAAGAGGACGCAAATATTATTTTTTTTAGTGTTTACAGTCTTGAAACTTGTCTTCTTCAAATTATTCCTTCTAACAACATGCACTTCTACCAAATATTTTATCCCTTTTTAGAAAATGATGTATGAAGTTTGCAGAATCAAATGTGACAGACAAGCTTAGATTAATATCAACTCGTGGCAACTAGAAAAAGGACACATGTATCTAACTTAGTCAATATAGAAAAACACCGTATGGCAGAAGGACTTAGAAGAATATCGAATTGTGGTACCTAGAAAAAGGACACAGCTGTCTATATCAGTCAATAAGGAACAAGACCAACTGGCTGACACTCTTACAATAATATAGGTACAGGTACTAGCTCAGTCAATTAAGAACCACGTCATGTGTCAGACTGGCCTAGAATAATATCGACCCGTGGCACCTAAAGAAAAGACAAAGGTACTGATTCAGTTAATGAAGAACAAATCCATGTGGTAGACTAGCTTAGAATAATGTCGAATCGTGGAACCTTGAGAAAAGTAACAGGTATCTAACTCAGTAAAGAGGCTTATGACAAACTGGCTTAGCATAATATAGACTAGTGACACCGAGCAAAATGACACAGGTACAAACTCAGTTAATCAAGAACCACACCATGTGGCAGTATATCTTAAAATAATATCGACTCGTGAAAAGTACTCAAGTGTCTCAGTTAATACAGAACAACACTATGTGGCAGACTATCCCAGAAAAATATAGACACGTGGCACCTGGAAAAAGGACACAGCTATCTCAATCAATCAAGACCACTCTATGTAGCCTACTGACTTAGAATAATTTCAACTCGTGGCACCTAAAAATAGGCTACTAAATCAGTCAACGAAGAACCACGCCATGTGGCAGACTGTCTTAGAATAATGTCGACTCGTGGTACCTAGCGACTCAGTCTGCAACTACGTCAATATCGCGCACCATATTTGAATTCCTCTTTTGAGAGATAACCTTTCATATGAATCATTAGACAGATATATAATACTTAATATGTTTTCCTAACTTATTTTTCCACAAACCTTCTTTCTCTTTCCACCATCTTTCTTCCTTCTCTCTGTTCTAGCAACAGCTTAATTTCAACTCATATAATACTATCGTTTCCCAATTAGACCAAAACTGGTGCAGATTTTATTTTTAAATTAAGGGAATTAAGGACAATACTGATAAAATTTTCATTATTTTTGCCATCTCTTATTTCTATACGTCCTGGGTATGACGATAAACTACATCCGTGTCCTGGGTATGACGATAAACTACACCCAACAGCAGGAGGTTTTGAGAAGCGTGGAACCATCTCTTAATTGCTGGTGTTCCCAGGTCCACCCTGACCCGGGGTGGTAGCACCTGTTAGGGTCTCAGCTATGGGCAAATAGTTAACCCCCAAACTGGGGTAAAAACACTATGAAAGTGTAAAAATAGGTTTTAATACCAGCAATACATTTTTGGAGACAATTATTACTAGCCATAAATTTTTGAAGGAAAAAATTATTACCAGCTACACACTTTTGAGAAAAAAATATTACCAGAAATAAATTTTTTGAAGGAAAAAAGTATGAAGAGAAATAAAAATTTTGTCGGCATTTAATAACCCATTGAGGTTGATATACCGTAAAACAAAATAAACCAAACAAACCAATCTTATTTCTATTTTTTTATCTATGCGCATGCGCGTGCTTTCTTGCGATCTTCATCGGATGAACACGTCTCTAAAAGCTGGTTTTTTGATTGACTGATGAACAGATCAGAATTAATTCCATAATATATAAAGGTACGAAGTATTTCCCTCTTCGTTGGACATTATCTCATTTATTCTTACCATTCTCCCATTACATTGTTGCCTCTTAAAAATCTTACCCTGTGCAACCAAATTATTCTTATAAATCTGTTTATTTATTTGCAAACTACTTTGCGAGAAATGCTTAGTGTCTATAACTTTGAAAAAAGTCATTAACACATCGAACATTATCCGGGCGTTCAAATCTCTTCTTTGTATAGTTACTGATACACAACGTTTCGAAGAAAACTGAACTATTCTTCACGCTTTGTCAGAAAAAAAGAATATTCTTCTGAACATCAATTTTGCTAAGCAGAGAATTCCATGCTAGCCTGTTTCACAGTACTGTTGGTGGAATTTTGGAATCAGTGAGCCGGATAGGACATGAAATATATTCTGCGAATGCTTTGGTCTCAACCTCAAGCTGGAGAAAAATTGATCAGTAGTTCTCGAAGTAGCTGTTAATCTATACTCTTGGAGGAATGTTTCCTTGAGAGAAGGCTAAGTTGAGCTTGAGATGTAACGTTTAAGATTGTTTAGTGTTTTAGTGTTCTCTTGTGCATCGCCTGATCTGTTGCCTCTATCCTTCCGAGGATTATCTTGTAATACCGGATACTGAGATTCATCGGTATAACTTACAGTTATGCTTCCTTCGTCGGATGTGAGCAGAAGATAAGGAAAACGGCTAATTCTGGAAATAAGATACGAATAAAGCCTTTCCTGCTTTGAGAAATGAAATGTGCAATTAGCTAAGGCGGGGCCCGCTGTTTGCCTTGAAATGGATGCTCCTTCTATCGCGAATATCCACATGCTCTGGCTGTTTTCTCTTGGGTGATGCCGGGCATCTCTGAAACTCAGCTGTTTATATCAATTATAGCAATGAAAAGTGAAGCGGGCGAGATGATCGGAACTAGAAGTTCGGTGCCTTGAAAACGCGGTCCAATCTCTCTCTATGGTCTTGAACGCCCGTGTTGAAATGGTTCATTAAGAACAAGGTATCTCTCACTTAATGATCCTAGGTGCGCTCCGGGTCCCCCCCAAAAATTCTTTTGTATCGAGACATGTTCTTTTCCCCGGAATGTATTCGTTGCGGTGATATGGAATATTCTATTTATGACCTTCATTCATTTTTATGATCGCATGCCTGCCGCGCGGGATTATTGAACGCTATATGGTCCTCAGATTTCAGTGATAGTTTTGCTGTTGTTGTTTTTTTGTTTTGTTTTGTTTTTTGTTTGTTTGTTTGCTAAGCAAATTCAGTTGCAGCAAATTACATTTTACCATGGTCAATTACTCTGCTGATATCCTGTAAAAAATAGAATTTGTTTTGTTGTTGTTTTTGTTTGTTAAGCCACTTCAGTTACAGTAAATTACATTTAACCATGGTCAGTTACTCTACAGAAATTATCCAGTAACAAATAGAATTATTCTTTACATTTTTTAGAAATACTTTTATGTCTCTCAATGAATTAAAATATACATCCGCAAAATTGCATGAAATTGAATGTGACGTCTGCGTCACAAGGACTAATTAACATTTCTATTTGGCAACAAC